GTCAATTGCTACTCAAAATTGGTCAATTCAACAAGGCCGAAGAATTACATACAGCACTACTAGAACAGACACCCAACGACAGTGATAAAGCACATATCTATTATATGCTTGGAATGATGAAAAATGACAAAGGGCAATATACAGAAGCAGTTTCATTTTATGAAATGTCTCTCAAAATTAAACAAAAAACTCTTCCAGAAGATCATCCTTCATTGGGTCCTACCTACAACAACATTGCTCTAGTGTATAATAACATGGGTGACTACTCGAAAGCACTTGAATTTTACGAAAAAGATCTCGAAATCACGAAAAAAGCTCTGCCTTCGAATCATCCCGATTTGGCTACTTCCTACAACAACATCGGTGGAGTCTATGTCGACATGGGTGACTACTCGACAGCACTTAAATTTTACGAAAAAGCACATATAATAAAAGTAAAAGCTCTGCCTTCGAATCATCCCAAATTGGCTACTTCCTACAACAACATCGGTGAAGTGTATAACAACATGGGTGACTACTCGACAGCACTTAAATTTTACGAAAAATCACTTAAAATAAGAGAAAAAGCTCTCCCTTCGAATCATCCCGATTTGGCTCAATCCTACAACAATATCGGTCAAGTGTATAACAACATGGGTGACTACTCGAAAGCACTCTCATTCTTAGAAAAGGCACTTCCTATCTTGCAAAAATCACTTCCACCTAACCATCGTTATATTATAATGGTCACAAATTCAATTGACAATGTAAAAAAGAAAATGTAACTGTAATTTTTTCTTTTCGTTTGCTCAATAAATTTATTCACATTGCTAATCATTTCGATTTTTCTCGGTTCATTTTGACTTACCCGCGCGCGCGCGACAAGGGAGAGATTCCTTGTCAATGCCATAGGTACTACAGGCGGACCACGCCGGACTGGTAGGGCAATGGCCGAAGGTATGCCGTATGAACGGTAGGGACCAACGACACATAGAGGCCTTCCCTAGTGCTACACTGCTTCGCTATGGCAAAATTCCTCTACCTATTGAATCAGACAACGTAGCTATCTGATCCACATTGATGACTCAACTCAACTCATCTCAAATAAACTCATACTCATACTCACAATAACTGATAGTATTTACTTTTTCTCAAAATAACTTATCTCAACTCAACTCAACTGAATATGTAAAAAAATTTTTGTTTCTCACTTCTCAATATTGTATAATATCGAAACTCATCTAAAAAAAAAAGAAAAAAAAGCATTATTGAATATATAATGAATTTATTATTTACCTCATATAGAATTTAATAATATCATTATCATTTTAAATAATATCATAATAATAATAAGCCCGGGTATATAAATACATTGTAATGCATTATAATAATACAACTCGAGTGTATGATTTCATAATGATGTATGCATGTTTTTATATACTCTGAGAATTAATTGACCGATGTTCAAAATTTTGATTGATTTTTTATCAATCATTCCACTTCTGTTTTAATTGATTTGATGATTTTTTTTTCTCGTCTGACATACATCTATATCATGTCATCGTCGACGAAAAAAAATTTTCATGATACATATATATAGGGTGTTGTCTTTCTCTTTCACATTGCTCGTCTTCAAATAAGAATACAAGACAAGAGAATTCATCAACTCGAGTAACTTAAAAAATAGGTGTGTTTTGTTTTTACAGAATGTGATCTTTATTTTAAGAATGTCTGAAATATATATATGTCTAAATTATATAGAATAAGATAGTGTTTGTCTCTCTACTGAACAATATATTTTTTATTGGACATCTTCATTATCTTCAATATATATGTATTTGATAAATTTCTGAGAAATTTTTGCGTAAACTTTTTTCACGTATATTTTTTCGACTTTTCTTTAAAGAAATGTTAGTTGTACAAAAATTGAAATTTCTACACATTTAAGATTGATGAATTTCTTTCATTTCAAGTGATTTTCATTAGAATATAGTGCTTCTCAGGATTTATCTAATTTTCGTCCAAAATGTATCAACTTGTACATAACAAACTATGAATGATGTGTATTCACTTATGTTGTCATATTCATCGATATAGTAATGAATATATAAACAGCTATGAATTCATCTCAAAATAGTCTCCTGATGATAGACTATATCATATTTGTACTATTTAAATTTTCAAGATTTATCGATGAAAATAAAATTCATCATTATAAACATTTTGAACAAACAACTGTAATGTAAAAGGAATATTATTTCTAGATTTTTATACGAAACTGTATATCAGACAAAGTATTAGTACAAAAAAGAGGCATTTTTCGTTTAGATATAATGAATGTTATTGCCTTTACATGTTCCACTTAATTGAATTATAAATGAGTATTTTGACATTGTAGAAATGAAAGTGGTAACTGTTTTTAGTTACCTGACAAAGTACTCTCTATGAAGTAATGTCATTTAATTAGAATGAAATGAAGTATTTTCTAAGAGAGACAATAATGATAGCAGTAGAGCATTTAATGAATGTCTTCATGTATTTCTCATTATATTTCTCTAGTATAAAAATTATTCGACAGATATAACAATTTCATTTTGTTTTCAGTGTAGATATTTAAGTTTTTATAAAAATTCGATGTTGGTTTTTTATTAGAAAATGATTAAACTATAGTGGCTTGAGAAATTGTATATTTTGTTTTTATTCACATCTCCCATCGTACAGTTGTTGGTGTATTCTGTATTTCGATTATAGGTGTAGAATGAGGTGTTACACTAAAAAGAAAAAGAAAACATGCTGAATAACTTATTGGAATATTTTCTCGTTAAGGATAAATACATATTCTGACGAATATTCGTTTTCTATGATTTTCTAAAGATAATTCATATTTTTATCGAGTATTTGTGAGATATAGAGTTTTATTGTGAGTTCATTGAAAAACATCTCAGAATTTTCATAAATAAAATTATGTATAGATTAATTATTTGAGTCTATAAAAGAAATCTCAGTAGTAATAATAAATAAATTAATGAATCACATTTTGTTTTCTCATTAGACATATATACATGGTTTTTTGTTACACTTGAAAGTATAAGTGAATCTATGAGACATAGAAGAGATTTAAAGAAAATTGCAAACCTCTTTCGAGTAAATGATATCGTCCTTATAATTTTTATGAGAAATTTCTACTAATAAAAAGGCTTTTAATAAAAGATTTTTTGTAAAGTTAAACAACGAGTCTTTTGGTAACATCCACAAATAGACGAATTCTTTATCAGTATTTCAGTGAATGTTGTTTTAATATTAATCTCTTTATATATCTTGTTGAATCTGACACTACACTGCTGTTCTTCAACATGAATATAGACAATTTATTAGTAAGAAAAATATCAGTTTGAATAAAAGATTCTAGTTGTTTTGCTTTTTACTTATGAAATAGGAACAATGCTTGACCTTTTTAATGTTAGAAAAGAATAATTGAGAAAGTTCGTTTACAGGAAAAAATACATTTCGATTAGAGATTTTAAACTTGTAATTTTTGTATAATTATGACCTGATAAATACTGTTGAAAATTGTGCGTGTAAATTTTTTTTTGAGAATGAATCGAATGAATCATTTATTGCTTTTGCTCGAAAGCAATCTTTTTACTTTTCTTCTTTATCTATATTTTGTTTTATTTAATATTTAATTGTAATACAGAAGATAACAGAGGAGTGTGAATCTGATGAGCTCTTCTTGTTAGCTCATACCTAAATGCTTTAAGGATTTAGTAGATGCGTTCATTGAATATTAAAAGATTTATCTCATTGAATTAGTTTTCTTAATTAGAATTTTTTTTTTACTTTTCTACTAATATTTTTGTTTATCAATGAGAATTTTGATAAAAATTAATAGACGAATCAATTGGATACATTAAATTTGTATCAATTAATATTATACGGTTTTTACCATTTATATAAGCCGAATCAATAGTAAAAAAAAATAAAGATAGTGATTAGGAAGATGATATAAAAATTCAATTATGTATTATAGAAAGTTTTTACGGAAGAATAATTTTAATTTAGACATTTATATGTACTGATCTGTTATAAACTTCTCTTTTTGTATAGCTTATATTGTACACATTTTTCTCTGACGAAAATCACACAACTCATTTAATAATAAAATTCAATACTGTTATTTTTGTTTTTTTTTCTACTGTATAACAATTATATTTTGATTTACGTAATCTAACATATGAACACAAATGATGTTGTTGAACATAGAAATCAAGTTCAACATGCTCTTGAAATAAGTGTTTACGGAGATTATTGATATTGAAGTGAGGAACGTATTTATACGTTCAATCTCACTCACTCATTATTCCTAAAAACACTCAACATTTTCATGGATCACATATTAATGTCATAAGTGTATAGAGTGTTTATGATATAAGTGCTAGAATAATGCATCAAAGGTATGAGATTCCTTCGAAACACTTCGAAAAAGACAAATTTCCAAATGATAAATCAATTATAAAAATAGCTAAGAATTCATTCGAAAGGTTTTTGTTCCATAAAAGTCAAAAATAAATATATTGATAACTATTCTTATATGACATTGAAAATAATTCATCATTTTACATCATTGAAAAAACTATTTTTTGTTTCATCGAAATAGTTTCGTTATTGATCTGAATTAGATTTACTTCAATAAAAAATATAGTAATGTGTTGAAACTTTTTCAAATTCATATTACATATAGTTAGTTTCTGAAGAAATACCGATCAATTCCATCTTAATTTTCTACAATGAGAAAATATTTTTCGATTTTATCTTCTAATATTATTTATTGAAACATTTTCGAATAGAAACAATAGGACATTCTAGATTGTTTTTTCTTTGTAATCGATTTGGACGGTGCTAGGACAATTCGTCGCAATGACATAATCCAATTATAACTTATCATTATTTTTTCATAAATGAATTGACCTATTAAGATAAGTTAGAAACACATGATTCAATGAGTATGACAATTGCAGAGACTATCTTTAATGACTAAACTTTGAATTTTTATTTCGGTTTGTATTGTCATAAGAAATTCTGGTTTGATAAAAAGAATCTGATCTATTTTCTGCATCACGACTAATACTGATGAAATGAAAAAACCTCAAACGTGAGAAATTATCAAAACTAGTGTTAACACTGTATAAATCATCGTTGAATTCAAACTACTGCCCATTTCAAAATAAAAGGCGGGTGGGTATTTTTTGAATATCTTTCGATAGAAATAAGATAGAGAGCTGCGGCTTTCACCATTGGAAAGAGGCTTTTCCAGCACATCGTTCCATATAAAATTGTTGAGGTTTACCTCAATTGTAGGTGGTAATCCATAGTCATCTTTGAAGAGTACATTATTGCTCTGTGACGACACAACGAATTTTAAACTTTGAAGAGTGTTCTAGAATCGCCAGCTCAAGCGCTACAAGTCTACGAAAAGCCGAAACTTTTATCTCATTTCGCTCAAAAGTTATGAGTCAAACACGAACGGCATTTGATCGATTTTTTTACCAATCTGAATGTGCGTAAAATGTTTTTCTGACTATTTTTAATGATGTTTTCGATTATGCTGAATCATTAGGAACATATACTTTGCTACACAGTAACTCTTTTTCTATTAAAACATTATAAAGAGTCGTTGTCAATACTGTTTTGATGTGCTACCACACTGTTTACTTCGAATATATGCACCATTTTCACAATTACTTATAAACACAAACAGAATACCTTAGGTTTTATTCTTTTAATC